AGAAATATGAAATAATATACTACAACAGTTTTAGTTGTGAAACAATCAGTTTAACATAACCAAGAACCAAATAAAAGGTAAACCATGTGTATTAAAAAAAAATTAAATCCCACAATTAATGCAAAACTGAACAGTCCAACTTGCAAATACAAGTCAACATACAGTTATGCAACATTCAACATTAAACATGTAAGGATGTACTGCATGTGCATCAGTGGCGGATTCAGGGGGGTTTGAGGGGGTTCGGGAAAAACCCCCCGCCCAATCAAAAAAAAAATTTTTTAGAAGTGCCATTTTAACAATATCTTTCATAAGTGAGGCTCTATCAAAGCCCACTGTTTTACACAAAGAGATGAAATATACAGCCACCACGAGAAATCCCTTTCCGCTTGAGCGCACACAGTATATACACAAATAATCAACAGTACAGAGATCATGGTAGTCCGTGCAGCTAGTGATGACACAAGGTCATACACTAACAACCAAAACTGCACATAGTTATTACGTTATGTTTTGGTATTGGTTAAGTAATATTCTTTCATGAATTTTCATTCTTCGATAATTGAATGTTACTTTATTGAACTACTTGAATAAACTGTGATTATTATTATTTGGAAAAAAAATTAATTAATACAATCAGGGACGTATATACTATAGTATAAACATCCCTGATACAATATTTTCATGACATAACTATACTGGGAAAGTAGACCCTTCGAGACTTTCAAGACTTTTTTTTTTTCAAACATTGGGCTAGTAAGTGGGTAAAAATAAAAATAGAATTAAAGAGTGCATTTATGTTAGAAATTATAATTAACCCCCCCCCCCCCATGAATAAGCAATAATTCCAACATTTTCCCAAAATAATTTATATATATTCTTCAATACGAAATACCATTATTTTTTTATATTGCAAATTATATGAACAGTATTGTCAAGTAGTTGAAAAGAGTAATTAGGATTTCTACACAGAATCCAAATTTTCTAAGTGTTGGGAAAATGCACATCAGTTGTATTTTGGTAGTCAGAGCTTCACATGCGACACATTGAACGTGCATTTTAAAATAAAGAATTCAATATTATATATCAAATGGCGATATTTCTAATTTGATCAGATTTTACATTGATTGATTGATTGATTGATTTTTTTTTTTTTTTTTTAGAAAAGTCTCATTTTTCATGTTTACATGGAAGTTAAAAATAAATCTCAAAATTTTTATTTTTTGTTAAAATTCTTGAAAATTTGGGTAGGTCGGTCTTGAAAAACAAGTGGCAAAAAACTAATTCATTCAATCTAAAATGCTGGAAAATGCACCATTTGGAGCCATTTTTTAAGAAAATTTCTCGGGGGAGGCCCCCCGAACCCCCACCTATGGGAGGGGGACACCCCCTCCCATGCCCTCCCCCTTTGGCCCTACGGGCCTCAACCCCCCCCCCCCCCCCACAAGAACTTCTGGATCCGCCACTGTGCATAAAATAAACCAAACCAAAAAAAAAAAAAAAATAATACTAACAGATTCCACCCATCACTGAAGAATTGTTTATGAATCATTATGATCTGTTTTATATTATACAATCCATTACCAAAGATAAGTTAACCAAAACAATATGTATTTATAAAAAACTTATTGGATTGGACAGACTACTGGCAATGCCTATAGTATAAATACCTCTCCATAGAAAAAATATACCCGGATAACATATTATCAAATACATGTACCATACGTGCCAAACGGTCATAATTTAGTTCATTATTTTATTGAGAATATATAAGTTCATTCATAATATAGTTATTATATAAAAATTGAGATTTTGGAAAATACAAAAATGCATTGAATAACAGAACTATCAGATTTTGATCTTCTAACTGAATATGTTGGGCCCAATATAACGATTGTGTAAAGTGTATTACATATAAGCACTGGTTGACAGACAGTTATATATGTACATTAGTTTAGACAAGACCAATACAATGCACCAGGTATGCAATGATGACCCACAGCATTAAATCTAATTAACTTTTCATAAAATTTAACTGCTTCCTTGGACTTTACATTGTTTTTCTTGTGAATGATAAAAAAATAAGACAATTAGTGAAAGGCACATTGTCTTTCCAGTTATTACTGGTAACCACAGACAGTCCTGTTATTTGGAATTAATTGGAATGGAAGTTTTAAAAGACAATTTCTGCAAAAATTACTAAAATGTGCTCCCCGAATTAGTAAAGATCTAAATCTATAATTGTACTATTTGTCTATCCTCATACTCACGCATGCTAAAATTTGTTTTTATTTGTCATCATTGTTTACATTTATATCTCTGTATACAATTGTAAAATTGTGAAGAGATTAATAAATTCAGTTCAGCAGAGCCATGTTTTGTAAAAATGCACAGACCTATGTATTAATTTATCTAACAACATGTATTGAAGAGAGATCAAAGAAATTGTGTCATGAATTTCTGGATTGTCCGGAAAATTTTTCAAGAAACCATTACCGTATTTATCAAATACAAGTAGTTAGCAAAGAACAGTCTCTGGCATGTTAAAAATCTTACTGAAGGAATTTCACATTACATGTACATGTACTATTTTAGTAACACATACATTTCTCTCTGTCCAAAAACATCATAAATTTATATATGTATATCAGTTAAGTTTTCCCCCAAGGCTTTAAATGCATAATTTTGCAGAAATTGGGATACACAGTCCAAATCTGACATTTAATGCATAAATGTTTCCTGTTTCTTTATATAGATATATACTGAAAATTCCCCAACCACAGGTATAGACTAATACATTAATTGTCTCATGCATACAAGTACATGTATATGATTATATAGTACATACAATGATTGTTCTGCATTATTGTTTCCTGCACTTTATTCCCATAACATCCTATTTTGAACACATGACTTTGCAGTGGCTCTATAAACATTATCATACATTCAGTGATAATAAAATAAGGTTATTGAAATAGCACCATTGTGAAAGAATAAAGGGTAAATATATCACAAGTTTAGAAATACTGACATAGTTACTACATGTATTCATCACAGTAAAATGACACAAAAATGAGAAAACAAGGTGAATTGTTCTTTACAGCAATCAAACACTTTCATAAAGTTCTGCTTTGCAGAAGTGAATACTTACATCATGTACCATTTGTGGATCTTGCACACTTATGTGAACACAATCTCATCACCATAATGACAGAAATCTATCAATTTACTTATTTTCAGACTAGGAAAGGTAAATTCATTGTATACTGTAAATGTATTGAATTTGGCAGAAAGCTGTTTCTGCTAAATCAAAAACATCACTAAATGTCTTGTTCAAACATTTATATATATTTATATCAAGTGCATTCAGAAAGTGCCAAATCAAATCTACGTTAACTTGCTGAAAAAATTAATTTCTGCCAAATATCATACACAGCAAGTATAATACAATTACAGTAATCTGATAATGCAGGCATTAATAAGTTACATGTACCGCAATGACAATTTATTTTGTTGTTCAATTTGAAAAAAAATCATGATACAATAATCTTTAACGAGGAACCATAGTATAAAAACTGAGGGAAAAAAATTTATATCATTCTTTTCTTGATTTTTTATGATGTTTGATTTACTCTTAACTTGCTTAAAAAGCAGATACCTGTACAGTGTAGAAATAATTAAAAGTGTCCAAGTTCTTTTAAAGACACTAATGTCATAAAAAAGAATATTCAAGCAAGAACAATAAACTTTTCATCTGAAGTCAGATACAGCCTACTCCACTTATATTGAAATCGCCTATTCTGAAATATCACTTACTGGGTATTTTGAGGTAAAGTATTGACCCACTGAGCTAATAATGAGTTTTTTTTTATAACCATTATATATTGAAGTTCTCTTGGCCAGTCATCGTCACAATTCGTAATTATACAAGTAGATGCTAAGATGTTAGCAGACATATTTTCTCCTTATATGTTTTCATTGTGCAATTTTATAATAAATTATTAGAGTTACATGTATCTCATTCTTGCTGATCATATATGAACACACATTGTTACAAGAAAGAAAAAAAAACATCCTTTTTGGATAATGAAAATGAATTAATATCTGCCATAAATAAAAATGTGAAAATCTAAATCAGAATTAGCAAAGGATTTTGGGATAAATCCTTGCAAACTAGCAATGTTATACATGTAGCATGCTGCTAATGTTGGAGGCAGCCTTTGAGTCTAGCAATCTTTCTCCTAAACAAAAAGGAATATGACTTGGAATATACCAAGGTTAAAAAATGTTTGACTTTTTATCAACTATTTCATTTCACAATTCAAGTGTTGTAAATTTTGTAATGATGAACCATGTAATTTGTTTGGGTGGGTTTTTAGATCAGGATCAGGATTTCAAAACATTGTCTTCACATGGCCAGTTTCTGTGTTGGTCCCTTGAACTTCAATATCTCTGAAGTAGACTGTATATATTTTTTGATAATGCCCTTACTTTGACCATTATAAATGTAAATTGGAGAGCAATTTCAGTTTTTAAGAATATAAATGTAAGTAAACAAAACGAATGTAATGGGTATGTATACAGTGCTGGTGAAGGCAGTGCTGCATCAACTTGTCCCTTCAATACATGTACATACAATATCAACTTTTTAAAACAAAGTATCAAAAAAAATCTATGTACTGAAAAAATGTAAGAACCTGGTCAATATAAAATAAAGAACCATTTATAATGGAAGACAATAACCCTACAAACACCAACAACAAATGAAATGGATTTTATAGAAAATTTATCACAGGCTCAAGACACCCAGCATAAAAACAGTTATCTACAGTTACACCTTCCCCAAACAATTAATATCTATCTGTAAAAATCTGTTATAAAAAGTTAAGGACACTGGCCAAATACCTGTTCATGTATGTATATTTTAGATACACATATTCCCCCCAAAAAGAGCCATTAAAATTATTCATTTACAGTGTGTGTACAAATTAAGTATATAATTAGTAAAAGAGTGTCAAAATCAATTATTTCAGTAAATGACAAAACAATGTAAATGAATTTGATTGCTGGCATAAGTGAACTTTGAGACGAAATATTAAGTTGCTGCAATTGTTGATTAAGGATGTCAAGCTATTGTGTAAGACTAGTCTCTGGCCTCTGTAATGGTAGACTTAGTTGTTATATAAGACCAGTCTCTGGCCTCTTGCAATGGTTGACTTAGCTATCGTATAAGACCAGTATCAGGACTTACTCCTGTAATGGTCGACTTAGGATCTGGTGAAAGAGAACTCCAAGATGTCTCTTGACACTTTTTAATGGAAGAACACTCTTCAGTTATCTCCCCTATCTGACACACTTCCTGTACACTCCAGAACTCTTCACACAGTCCATCTGTCCATTCCTCCAACACATGTCCATGTTTCTGGCCATTCTCATCAGCAGCTGCTCGAGCTTCTCCTATGTTAGTCACTTTCAAAACTTCCTCAAACTCTGAAAAATCTTGCTTTGCATAAAAACCGATTGGTCCATTGTGATGTAAGGCTGCTCTGCTAGGGTCCAGAGTCTTACCCTTAAACACAGTTAAAGGAAGAACAAGGAATTTTACCTCCGCAAAGACTTGCCATCTGTACATGAGTTTGCTAGTCCACACTCCTGGTCGTAATGGCTGTTTTAGCAAAGGTTTGAATGGTCGAATTTGACCTTCACCTGTGATGTTGACATCGTAGGAAGCAGCTATGACCTTGGCAGGGTCAATCCATGCAATAGATACTGTTAATGGTTCACCTGGTCCCCAGGTATGTTTTAAAACTAAGTCACTGTATGGACCTAGGAACAAGCCATAGTTCCTGAATATGGACTCTTTTAAGTCATAATCTGTGCCAACCTGTTGGGAAAAGTACAATGTTAAGATACTAGATATCTTCATTGATTCTTATGGTATGAAAAAATAGGACATTCTTAAGCTTTTAAAATTAAAATTTCAATTTGACAAAACACTGAATGTCTCTTCTTGCATTTTATCTTTTTTGGCACTCAATGGGGAAAAAAACTGAGAGATATCTGAGAATTTGAAATACTGAGGTTAAAATAAATAAAGAAAAAGAAGTTGGGACTTCCAACTGACTTCAACATATCCATGGTATTTGATATATTGGTGTTCTCAAGATAACTAAGTTCAACTGTATACATGTTTATATCACAAGATAAAGGGAGCTAAAGTGAACTAACAAGTTCACAAAATACACTTTTCAGAATATAGAACCTCAACATTAATGAGCCTGCCAGCAGGCACAGGGGGTTCTATCACTGTATCACCTACCTATGTATCAGGCCCTTGAAGTTCTATCAATGTATCACCTACCTTAGCATCAGGCCATTGACGGTCTAGCACTGTAACACCTACCTCGACATTAATGAGCCTGCCAGCAGGCCCTGGTGGGTCTATCACTGTATAATGCTGCCTCATCATCACATGACTCTCAAGAACCACTTTGGCTCCACCCCTTGTGATGGCCTCAAACATCACTAGAAGTCCCTGGTTCCTATCACTCCTCTGGAATACGTGGACCTGAAGCAGTTTCTCTGGCACCACCTGACACTGTGTCGCTGTGTCTGCCATCAGAAGAGCAGCTGTCAATCTCATAAAGGACAGGTAAAAACTCAGGTAAGTGTCATCTACCCTAGTGCTGGAGTCTAGATAGTGGTACTCATTCTGCCAATAGTTAGTCAGGGCTGTTACATCTGAAAAGAATGGCCTAAGTATGTATTATATGTTGGCTTTTATATAGATTGCTCTGTATCTAAAATGTTGTCTAAAAATTATCCTATGGAACTAGTTTATTTGCAAGAACTTTTTTTTGTATTTGCATAGTATCAATTTGAAAATAATTGGAGGCACGTAACTCCAACATGTTTTATGACTGCAGAAACAGATGGCCTGAGGCACAGTTACGATATTCCAAGCTATTTTTATATTTAGAGAGAACGTTTATTTTAAGAACCTTGGGTATCAGAAAGATACAATGGATCAGTTACATCAATGTCTGTAAGGTGTTTTCTATATATTGTAAAAGTGGAATTTTTGTTGAAAATGCTGATGAAATTGATGAATGAGAAAAATCCTCAATGTTTCCACTTGTCAACTTTCACATTCTTGTTAAAGAGCACTGTTAAATACTATTATATAGTCCAAGTTTTCACTCGCCATATTTCTAAAATATTTAAATCGTCAACCTTTCAACCCTTCAATATAACCATGTTTACAGTACCTTTCATCTCATTTCCAAACAAGTAAACATCCATACTGTTGATAATATCTTGGTTTACTACTGGCTCAAATTTTCTGCCAAAAAACACTGGCTTTGATTCAATACTCTGAAAAATCAAATAGATTAGAACTGATCATAAATGGTCACAATAGCTTACATGTAAAATGAAAACTGAGTGGTAACTGACCAGAATTCTGTCCAGGTCTTTGGAGAGGAAGTCATTGGGGGAACATCCACACCAGTCTACGACATTCTTGTGTTGACATTTACATCCCCTTTTCCTGTCCCAGTTTGTGACATGAAGGTTGTTTTCCATCCATTTATCACAGTAGTGGCTATTATGGAGCAATGTGTGGAAAAAAGACTGTAACATGGATAATGCAGCAGGTTATTTAAAGCACAGCAATTAATTACAACAGAAAGGGTTTAGTGCAATACAGTGTATTACAATTTTATTTTTTCCCAGTTATCAAGCAAAAAATTGATACAAAGACCCCCCTTCCAATATTTTTGGATGTCACATTATTCTATAACACTGGTATGTTTATAACTCTATGTACCTCCACAGGCAGTAATGTGTACTTGTACAGCTTCTTCAGTCCTTTTAAGAGTTTATCTTCTGAGGTTGTGACATACTCGCAGAACTGACGAGGAAGCCCCACCCAGTCACTACCCCCATCCATCTGAATCCCTGTGGGGAGGGTTCGTGGTCCTAAACGCCACAGGTGGTGGTCACACTGCAGGAAAGTCTGATCCAGGCCCTGTTTCTTCAAAAACCTAAATGTTCACAATAAGGGACACATCTAAATAAAATTTTCTGAGTGGACATATGGGGCATAAATGTATATGTAATTTCTTTATAATATAGAAGTAAAAATATAATTGCTGATTAGAATGTTTTTCAGCTTTGTTACAAGAAATGTCATGCTAGCAGTACAAGTCATAGTGTGTGTAAAAAAGTTGCATTCCTTTACAGGAGTTTAATCATAATGAATGTAATAAAGTAAAACATGTTTATTTTGATCATAGATATTGCAAAATAATGCTTACAAAGAACTTTTTTTCACCAAGTACTAGAAAATAATGAATAACTAACTGAATGTAACAAATATGGATTTAATTAAGCAATTCTAAATGTCTTTGGGAATTTGCTAAAACCAAGTTTTACTTAATAAGTTATCACTCTCTTTTGATGACTGTAAATTTTCAAATGTCAGAAACATGCTCTTTAGGAAATTATTAAAGGAAAGATTTTTCTTTGTGTGGAAATTTTATATTGTCCTGTGATTTTTTTTCTTAAAGTTACAAGTTGTGTTACTGTAGTTGTCCATTCAAACTGTAAAATCACTCAATCAAAAGAGGTCAGATTTTTGTGGTTCAAGAGAAAAATATTGGTTTGTCTGGATTTGATTGTGTGTTTAGTTATTTTACATTGAAAAATTAACATTTCATGGAGGACATGAATTTGTGGGTCTCTTCACCTGACAAAAATAACAAAAATCAACCCCAAGAAATTAATTAATTTCTCTGAGTATCTATCAATCCCCTGTTACTGTACTGACTGATGTACAATTATTACTTACAGAGAGGTATTCCTGCCATGAGATTTGATGAACACATAACCTCTGTACTTTGTCAAGTAGGAAATTAGGGCATCCAATCTTCTGTAATAGAGTCATAATCTTCTTATATCAACAGAAGAACATAATGTAGAAACATACAATAGTAAATTAACTACCAGACTTACTTGATTGGGTAGTCACTTTCACTCAGGTTAACATAGTAGTCCCACTTTTTATAAGAATCAAGTGCCTCCTTCATGATGTGTAAATGGGCATCTAGAAGATTGGCACCACCCCAGATTGTGGCAAAACGCTTACGAACAAGATAGACATTGGGTAACATATCCTCCAAGGGAAGCAACTCTCGATACAGGTATTCTTGTCTCTGAAAATATACATGTAGGTACAGAATATTGGTGTATGATTATAGTAATATGCTGCAATGTGTAATTTATTATTTTTACATAAATGGAATTTCAAACATGTCCATGTATGTTTAGGTTCTGTGATATGATTTAATCAATTTAATTTTTTCATACTGTGTCAATTTTCTTGCATATTCTATCTGAAAAATTTCAATCCATTATACTGAAATTATCATCCCAGCTGAAGAACTGAAATTGTAATCAAAGTAGCATTTTTCATTAGGTTAAATATTCCTTGCTGATTTAAGGTTAATAATTGTTGTGTGGCCATCGATAAAATTTTTTTTGTTTGATGTATTCTGACCCAAATTTTTTAAGGTGAGTAAGTAGGTAGAGTTTTAGTAAGTAGGTAGAGTTTTTTTTTTCATTCAATCATCTAACACACTGATAGCTGTATGAAAAAATTTAAATGTACACTTTTATTCCTCCATGATTCTTTCATAAACTTCATTGACATGGTTTAGAAGTTTGTAAAATGCACCCCCCCCCCCCCAAATGCATGAAATGTAAAGTTTAAAAGCAATCTGGGTGTTTTGTATTATCCCTGAAACAAAAAAAAAAAAAAAAAAAATTAAGTACTGAAAAAACATGATTGGGTCAGGGCAATCTTGATAGGTAAATCAGAGTACATCAAACAAACATTTTTTTTGTTAGCCTTAGTCTTACCATATCAATGTGTAGAAGGTAAAAATGGTCTTGATGGTAGATGGCCTTGAGTAATCTTCTAACTTGTCTGACCTGACGACCACTCAAGGTCAATACAAACATGACCCTGACCTTTGGTTGGATATCCTCCTCAAAATGTAGATCTCCTGGGCCATTACTCAGTCTCTCTGTAATACATGTATGCAATCAATATGAGTTCTAACAATTAGTGTTAGACAATCAAAGACTGATAAATCAAATGTTTGATGGCTCGTGATAAGGATGAGGCAAAATGATATTTCAACAGAATTATACATTAATTTATTAATTGTGTGATACAGTCTGTAGATTGAATTTTTGAAATTGATTAAAAATTCTTCGGCCAGATCCTAGATCCCAATGCTTTCTTCCAACTAATGTCTATCAGAACCAGATGGTATGTACAGTACATGCTAGGGCAAGTGATAACATTACTTATCTCAGGAAGTTCCCCTATATGTATATACATTATATGTACACATACTCTTGTAAATACAATATATCCATTGTGTTTATTTTTCTATATCTTGAGTTACAAGTTCACAAAATCAGTATATTATAATGTTCTCATTTGTTTTCTTAATAAATCCTGTTCACTACATATAAGTACTGATAAAAACACTTAATATTATATAATTTTGCAAGACAAAACCTTTGTATTTAGAAAGACAGATTTACTTTCTTGCATCATATATGCAAAATATCTAATACACATTCTATTATGTAAACTGTGATCTCTCTCTTCTGTGTATGAGCAAATTTCAGTCAGTAAGATGTAGTCTTGTCTTTAATGTAGGTATCTAGAGTATATTGTACCATACACCCTCAATGAATGATTAATTAGTAATGTCACTTTATCTCTGATAATGCATACATTTACATCTGATTGCATAATACATGTATCAAACACTTCCTCATTATGTGTTAAGGGTTAACTGAAAATAGGGAAAAGGCCCTACAAGTACAGTACTATACACAACAACAGTCCACCTAGTCAATGTACTTGAGAAATAAGCACTTATTTTTATTGTATTTACCTTAAATACCTGTACTGTACACATCACTGGTGAGATATCCTCCACAAATTGAGTACAGATATCTGTATTTACCTTGTATACCTGCACTGTACACATTACTGGTGAGATATCCTCCACATATTGAGTACAGAGTCCTGTATTTACCTTGTATACCTGTACTGTACACATCACTGGTGAGATATCCTCCAAACATTGAGTACAGAGTCCTGTATTTACCTTGTATACCTGTACTGTAGACATTACTGGTGAGATATCCTCCACACATTTCACTGGTTTTAGCGGGGCAGGGCTGGTTACATGCAGCTCCTTCAATTCCATGTTTACCAAAAGAATTCCCACACCAACATTCCCTTCCATACTGCAGGCCTGCATATCTGAAACCTACACAATCCAAATATGATATCAACATCAAACAAAAAACCCTGAAATTTTGGTTTAAAATATTAATTTTTTTAAATTTAGATTCTGTACACTCTTTTTATTCTCTGACTTTAATTTCCTATGTATAAACAGTAACCCTATTAGATAATTAATGCAGGTGTGTGCTATAATTAACCTGATTATACTTAATAGGTATCTTCTTACAGATGTTTTATTTGTAACAAATCTGCCAATAGATAGTCTTCTGTACATAGTTAGATCTGTATACAGTAATTTATCTGTTCCTTTAGACAGTCACCTATACAGAGGTGGGTTGTACTTTACCTGTCTGTAGACAGTAGTCTATACAGAGCTGTGACCAGTTCTCAGTGGGTAAAGTCTTTTGATGAGAAAAGTCTCGATCCTCTGGATCGTCCTTATAGCAGCCATAGTAATGCCCCTTAGAATGGTTACCTGCAAAAAGGAAATTAAACTTCTCACATGAATCTTATTCACTACATTTGTGTCATTTCACTATCTATGAAGTCAAAAGTAGGACAAAAGTCCCAAGGTTGTGTTTAAGGAGGTTGGATCCTGTCATCAAAAGTAATGAGAATTTTTTATCAAGTATATTTTTAGAATTTATACACGTAGCTTTATTAAAAATCAAAACAAAAAATGGGGGTCAATACGCTTCTTTTGGCGCTACAGAGCATTTAGTTTGACCTTTTTGCACTGAAAATACATCTTACACATAAATCAATTTTTAAGTTTTTCCTTCAATATTTTTTGTTCAAATAAATTATGGGAACAAAAACAGTCTTATTTTATCTTAAATAGACACATTAAAATTTGTGACAACGAAGAAATTTTCAAATTACTCCGCATGTTCAATTATTTGACCTTTTTGCACTCAAACATTTTCATTTTTCTGGCATTAAAAATTTAACAAGCAAAAAAATCATTTGAAAGTAATGACATTTTACTGAATTTAAGAAGAATGGTAAAAAGTATCGTATATATTCAGAAAAGAAAATTAAAAGTGGGGGTCTGTGATGTTAATTTTAAGATATTACTAAAATAGTGCTAATTTTAAGCTTAAATTAGGGCTATTTTTTTTCTTCATTTTCAAAATTTATTTCCTATATTTATCAAATATGATGATAGAATTCATGACAGTTTATTTAATAGATAATTTAGGACCAGTATAAAACAGTCCACTGCAAAAAAAAAATAACTATGTGTGCAGACTGCATGTAAAAATAGGAATCCAAACTTAACATACTTTAGATACTTCGAAAGAGAAAAAAATGATCATTTTCTTCCAAAAAACCTTCCGCCACAAAATATAGTTCCTCACTTAATGCTTTTGGTATGGAATTCAATCATGGAGTTTTAACTGAATATAGTTAAATTGGCATTGTAGAATCCAAATTTATTGTAAGAATTAAAACATTTTGGAGAATTTTTGAAATATAGCTTAAGATAAAAATCTGCTCATAAGCTCAGGAGCGAACCTCGTTAAATGACATACTTGTTAAATCCAACTTAAAACATTTTTTTCACATTTAACTAAAACAAGGGCACCCCAACATGGAGCATCTGCTTGTAAAGGAGCACAATGATCCTGATTTAAATTATTACTACATATACCTAACTTTCGTTATACATTTAGCACTCACTCACACACAGGCATGTTACCATATCCCCTCAAACTTTGTTGCAAGGGGTTAAAAAAGGCTGCTATTAAGGAAGCATGGGTACACAATAAATTTCATTCGAGCGCTGAATGAAGCAAAGTCAGATACACTTTATTTTTCAGTATTTTTTTTAATTATCACTTCATTTCACACAATAAAGAGTAATTTACATGTAAATTATTTACTTTTATAGTATTTAATATACACATAAATAACTTTACACAAGTTTCATTTCACGTGTCTTACCTTTCAGGTGGCAGGTGTTGGGCAGAGAGCCTGGATACACGCCCCCCTCCTGTATCCCACAGGTCGTGTCAGCTATCTCCTGTTTACACTCTATGGTTTTGGCTCTCTTAATGGCTGAAAGAGCCTGAGAGCTTTCTATTGTACAAGGAGGGATGAAATCCTGGAGAAACCGTATCTTGTGTTGGAGATCTTCCTTAGATAAATTATGGGATTCCTCACTTGTGAGGACCTCTGCAGGGTGACTATCATCTCTGTCATGTTCCACATTTATAGCTTCTTCTTTCTCTTCCCCTAAAGGCTCCTCTATGATTTCTCTGTCTGCGGGTCTCTCCAGGGTATCATCTTCTGGCTATATTAAAATGAAAAGATTGTCTTTAGTTGGAAAATTCTTGTATAGTGGAAAAAGTCAAAAAACAAATTTAAAGAATTTGAAGTAGAACAGAGAACATGTTGCATACTGTACAACTTTACTGATACACAGAGTATAACAGTAATGCCATCAAAGAACATCCATTATACCTATGGGAATTGCTTAAAAGTGCTCTTTATATTGATTAAAATCTTTTGGGATGTGACTACTTTGCGTAAACTCCAAAACTTATGGCACTTATAGCACTGCATATTTTTTCTGTATGCCTATTTTTATGCATCTAGCAATTTTTTTCTATTATGAATTCCATATCAGTTGATATTTGTTTCCTATTTCTATTCATAGCAAGTACAAAGTATTTCCATGTACAGGTATGTATATTACTATATACTTTATTTTGATATATTATGTATAAAATGTGTCAAACAGTATATTTATATTTGCAAATGTTTTCTTTTATATAACACTATTAAAGGCAACGCGTATCTATATTCATATAAACATGGGTTCCTTGTGTCACAAAGGTTCGACATAATTTCTCAGTGACGTCATAAAGGGTTGACGCGCAATCAATGGATCAAATACATGCTATTGAGTAACTTGAGTTTGAAAAATAAAACATTTCACGCATTAAAGATTAGAATAAGGAAAATATAAAATATGAATAAGTCATAAATGTAAATATAAGTAATAAGGTATCATTTTAAAACATCTATCGGGATATAAATACGGGTTGGTACGAGATCAAATTTACCATAAAGCCCTTCCGCCTTTAAGGAATTTGATCTCGTGACCAACCCTTATTTATATCCCGATAGATGTTTAAAAATGATACATTATTTCTTAAATACAAGCAATATTAATGTTAGGTGCATTATTTAGAAAGTTTTGACAATGTTGATGAATGAAAAGAATATTTATTACATCAGAATGATCAGTTAATTGTAAATATGAAAATGGATATATAATGAATATTTATCATGTTTATGAAATTATAAATCTATACAAATACAATTAAGAGACAAAAAAAGAGAATTATTGATTGAACAGTTCTACATTATATACAGATAATTGTTATTCCTGAAGTTCTAAACAAGTATCACTGGAACATACCACTGATACCAGCCAGGTGTCAAAACACTGTAACTAATCCTTGCAGTGTGTAACAACTGGAGTGTCAATTAGTTGTGACTGAGAACTGAGAGAAGTGCTGAAACATATTGGTGTTAAAACATTGTGCATCCATCATTTAAAATTTATTTTTATCTTATGATCATTTTAATTGTCCATATCCTTTGTCATGTTTGTGCTGATAATATATTGTAACAGAAGTCTGGGGAGGAGAAAAATGTCACAGATCAGACCTGGATTCCAACCCAGATCCCCTAAATCTCCAGTCAGGTGCTCTACTAACTGAGCTATCTGGCCCGGAGTACAAATTTGATTTGTTTTCATGATTCTTGGTGATGACCCAGTGGCATTGCCATTCTGAATCATTGTGACCATAGGCACTCCCCATCTTAACTGTTAAAAAAAATATATACCTACTATACTATAAACATGTTTATAGTATAGTAGGTATATATTTTTTTTAACAATTAAGATGGGGAGTGCCGATGATTGTGACAGAAAAGTGCTGAAACATCACTTGTCCCAAAATCTTGTGCATCCAGCAAAGACATAAAAAAGGGAGGAACGTGGTGGTTAGAAAGGTGGCTGGACAGATCAGTTGAGAGAGTACGGGGGAGGCCTGGGGGGGGGGGGGGCAAGTCCACCACATTTTGTCCCTTCTTGTTACAGATTGTGGAGTGTCTGATACATATCCAGTAGCACATATGGCAGGTGCTGCAACCTGTTTTTCTATGGCATACGTTTGGGATGCAACACATCAAGTTTGATACATTTTCCAGCGAGACATTTGCCGCATGACATTTTCATTTAAGCCATACCTTGTCTCCCGGAGCAATATCCGCATCCTTTACGTTGAAATTGTATATAATAAACTGAATACAAAGGATTACAAACGCTACGTAAAATATATATCTATATTTACAACACAATCTTCTCGACGAGGCAATCCGTGAGGCAGCCATCGAACATTTCTACCTCCAAAAACTGAAGAGGAGTCGTGTAAATCAAGATACCTGAGAGCCCAAAAATATCAACCATGTAAAATAAACTGTTTTTCACAGAATATGTGAACGAATTCAACCGTCCATTATAATTGCTTTTATCGTGATCTTTTTCTTAAAAACCTAACGTTAGATGTATAATCTACAGCAGGCTAATTTGCTTTGAAAAGGCAGTTCCGCGTCTAGAATTTCTGGAAAGGGGGGGGGGGATTAAATCCTGATCTCTTCCTTCGTGTATAGTTTTAACAGGTGAAATACCTGATAGGGGGAGCTTGGCTTGGGATATAGTCTTTAGAACATTTATAAGGAGCATGGCCTCACCATTGTTTTGTAACAGGAGAGGAGAAAAATGCCACAGACCTGACCTGAATTTGAACCAAGGTCCCTTGAATCTCCAATCAGGTGTTCTACCAACTTAGTTATCTGGCCACCAGCGAACAACCCCGTCCAACTGCCACATTACTCTCTACTTAAAGGTCTTCACCCTGAAGACACCAATCCAGGCTCTTCCCTGACAGGTCTTTCACCAGTCACTTCTATGGCATGGCACAGCACCAAATGTAACAGGAAAGGAGAAAAATGCGAAAGATGCATCAACTACATGTATTAAAATTTGTTGACTTTGCAAGTCATAGGTTAAAATACACAGTCAACAGCATTTTCCATAAGAATAAGCTACTGGCCAAATTCACCGCTTCAGCTGATAAAAATGCCACAGAGATTTGTCATAAACCTTAACCCAAAGCCTGTTACAGTTGATCTCTAAACCTTTACTTTGAAAAAAAGGGAAAACACTGAGTAAAATTCATAAAGTAGATCATTGTGACCTACTTTTTTTAGTTGACACACCCTGATGACCCAAAATTCATCAAAGATATTAGTGAAAATGGTTTGAAAATGAAAAGCTATAAAAATACTACCCGGTAGATAGTATCCGTAAATACCACAGACTTTAGACTAGATCCAGATGACTCATGGACCCCTGAGAACTCATGATGAACTTGTGTGTGGTGAATCTGTGAACCCATGGTACCTTTGTAGTTCATGATAAACCCATGGATGTTGTGGTAAACTCATGGAGCCCATGGAACTCGTAGTCATGATCATGGAACTCATGGTAAAGTCATAGAACTCTTGGTAAACTTATGAAACTCAGGTTGAACTCATTCAACCAATGAACTCAGGGTGAACTCATGGAGCCCATGGTGAACTCAAAGGACCAATGGAATTCTGGGAGAACATGTCTCATGTATTTGTATGCCATTTATTTTTTTTTAACAACAGACAAGTTTGTTGTGAAATTTTGGGATCTAAATATAGATTCTGACAGAAAAACCACTTCCCAGTGAGTAGTGAATCAAAAGGATGAGAAAGAAAAGAAAGTAATATTTTGCTTTTTTTTATTTCAATTTTATAAAATATTAGCTTAATGGAAAACATTATGACTCATTTCTTACATCCTGTAATAGATTTATGTACACATTCACAGATCACATACATACGTAAAGTGAAGACAACATTTAACAGTGAACACAATATGGTGGGTGATGTGTGTATAAGGTAGCCTACAGCACTATTGAATCAATTCCTGATGACTTTGCATTTGATAGTTTCCTTTTTTGCAAATTATTGCGGTACATGTGTAATTATATAAAGAGTAAATATTTTCAAAAGTATAGTCATACATCATTTCTCTGTCTGCACATCAAAATAAACTAAAATTCACATCATGTACAATGTCTCGCTGTAAAATGTATACAGGTATTCAATGTATAAAGACCATAATATTTTGTATCTAATAAATGAACGGTCCTATATTTGTAATTACAGTATCATTTTGAAGGTGTTATGAAATAAAAAAATACTTCACCAAAGAAAATTACAAAAATTTGATTATTGTCAAATTAATTGCACCTTGAATTTTACATTGAAGTCTATGGACAATGCATGTGTTATTAAGATACTGAAAAAAGTAATTTGAATTTCATAAAAAAAAGCTCTTGGTGAAAATATGCATACACTCTCTCTTTATTAAAATATGAAATAAAATTAATCAATTACCGCAGATATTTTGACGAAATTAAACTTTCTTCTTTGCATCAAGGGCAGATAACTCTTCAAAAACTTTTAAAGTGCAAAATGACCAGTTTCTTATAAGTTATCAGTCATGTGAATTTGGTTCATTTCACTTTCATCATTATCTAGCAATGTATTTTTAACTAGTTTAAAATGATTCAAAATTGTTTAAAATCCCTTCATTATACATTGAATACCTTAAGCAAAAATCTTGTAATGTCTATGAATCTGTGTGCCACCGATTGTAAAGCACAAGTTAGAAATGACACAAAGTAATATCTGGTCTCATTTACAATGATTTGACCTGTGTTTTAACTTAAAAAGTATTTGGTCCATTTCAGAAATAACTTTGGTCCCTCTTCAAAAACATGTATGTAAAACCAAGTGATAACAGATACATGTATCAAAGCTTGTACATTCACTGTTTAAACTACATTCATGAAAATACGAACAATAAACTGTACTCCTAACAATACAGATATCTGCTCAGGTGTACAATTTATGAGCCTTTATACACACAATTTCTCTCAGTAAAACCTATTACACTATATACAGATGATAAGTTAGAAATCAGAAAGAAGACAAAGAGAGAAACTACACCACACATGTATTACAGGGAGATAACTCTACATTTTAAGGCCACTAGTTTAATTATTGAAAAGGTTCTATGGATTATCAGGAAAAACAAAATTGGGTGAGTAGGTAAAATTTTGCTAAAAGTACAATTACACACATTAAACATTTTGAGAAACAAAGAAATTCCAGGTAATTGGAAGAGAATTTGGTATGGCCCTTCTAGCTTTTCTATATTTTCCTGAAACTAATGTTCATGTATGCATTGACATGTTTCTTACTTTATTACAAACAATCACAGCATGATCCATTTGACCTGAGTTTGAACAGTCTGTCATTGAAAATAAGTTTACTCAAATAGTTTTCCATGCATTCCACTACCAGTGCAGATACAAAACTTTAATAACATTATAGTTTAAAGATAAATATTCATATTTGTTTCAAACAGCACTATTCTTGAAAACGTTCACATGAAATCAGAAGATAAAAGTGTGAAAAAAAACAAGTTCTTGAAGCAAATTCTATCTAACAGTGTAATTTCTTTATATCTTTTTGTGCAGTTTTAATTAAAACAGAAAACCCATTCAAGTCCTTGCCATGAAATCACTCACTTCATGGTATTAAAGGCACAAAGGCAATGAAAGATTATCTTAAAACCCAAAATATACTAATTTATCTGTATCTAATCAAATTTATACAGAGACTTAAGTAGATTTTATCTTAAGGTGGGCTATAACAAACTACAGAAAGCACAGTGATGACACATTGATACATGTAAGTTTGGTGTTCTAAGTCTTGTTTGGCTTATTTTGTGTGTTGTAATAAGGTACATATGCCTGAACCAGTTAACGATGGAGGAATAAAAGTCTGATGTCTGTGTGTTTGTGTGTCGTGTCAGGATGATCAGTTGGTGATGGTAGAAGCTGGTAAGGCAGACTTGTCCAGGTTGGCAAAGTATACGTGATTCAGGGCTTTTTTTGCTGATATCCTACTAGCTGGGTCATAAATCAACATTTGCTGAAAAAGTTTCAGAAATGAATAGCAGGTTATTGTATACAAATTACACATGTACTGTTTAAAAGACATTTTTCTAAATATAATAATAAACAAAAACAAACTGATTTCTTGACCTAAACCTTGTATACAAATAACCATTCCTTGTCTTAATTACATTGTACCATTAAGACAAGGAATAACAAATTTCAGCACATACCTTTGTCTACAAACATATTTTGACATACCTGGAGAATATCGAGTCCTGTATTGTCTAACCTCTGGACAGCACTAGCCAGCTGATTAGTTTTCCAGTTAGGGAAGGTGGGTTTGTAGTCCGGTAATGAGGTCACTCCAGGCCAGACATCATCTGTTGGTGTGGTCAATGTCCTAAGTATGGAAATATATAATTGCTTAAAAGAAGAGTAGTTTGAGTTCTTTGTCACTAGAAGAGTACTTTGAGTTCTTTGTCACTAGAAGAGTAGTTTGAGTTCTTTGTCACTAGAAGAGTAGTTTGAGTTCTTTGTCACTAGAAGAGTAGTTTGAGTTCTTTGTCACTACAAACACTCTATCACTTTATTACCTTACAATTAAAATCATGGTATGCAAAAACCTTTTTTTAACTTCAACCTTCACTGAATTAAGATCAAACAAGTTAATATTACCTGAATATCCTGAAAAGTTGATCGATTTCTGAATCCCCGTGGAATAGGGGTCGTTTTGTCATCATTTCAGCAAAAATACAGCCCACACTCCAGATATCTACTGGGGTGGAATACCTCTGACTGCCGAGGAGGATCTCCGGGGCTCTGTACCACAGGGTCACAACCTAAAAACACAGCAAGTTACCTTATAAAATAGTTAACATTGATGTAATTCATTACTGATCATGGAACTTGCCTATCAAGTTAAACAAAATGGAAGTTTCAACTTGGAGCACAATATGCAGGCACTTTATCATGTGTTCTTTTCCCCCCCAGACTTCATAAGTTTGCACCAACTGTAGTGCAGACCTATTGAGATAATATGATTCATCAAATGATACTCATACTGCTCAAATTACCTCATGAGTGTAAACACGGACTGGAATTCCAAAAGCTCTGGCCAAACCAAAGTCGGCTAATTTAATAACCCCTTTGTTATCGATCAGTAAGTTCTGGGGTTTTAGATCACGATGAAGGACTCTCCTCTGATGACAGAAGAGGATCGACTGAAGGATCTGGTACAAGTAACTCTGTCAAGTAACAAAAAGACAGTATTTATAAGACAACATCTCTCGTCAACTTCCAAGAAATGAGGATGAGATTTTATTCTATGAAATGGAAGAAATACAACCAGAATTCTTTATCAAATTTTACCTTAACAAGCATTTTGTCCATAAACTGTCCATTGGGAATGGTGTCCATATAACGTTTCAGATCCATAGATAAAAATTCAAACACAAGGTAGAGCTTATTTTCCTGCATTAGAACATCTTCTAAGCTGTAAATAAGGAAAAGTCTGAATTTACATCTAGACTAAAGCAATTACAGACAATGACAGTAATAACAAGGTGATTAAACCAGAAGTCTCTGATGAGACTGTAGCTCTACGGGTCTGTACAAGAAAAAGTAGCACTTGGATTTGAAACTTTGCAACATGCAGCAATAAATAGAATTATATATCTTAATGTAGTTTACTTGTGTGCAAAGTTATATTGAAATCAAATAAAAACTGTAGGAGGGGTAGCCTTTTAAAAGAATTTCACAGAAGTTTCTAATTTTAGTAACCATGGCAACACCATTCATTGAAATCAAAAACTGATGCACTGAATTAGGTATTTTAGTGTAGTCTACTTGTGTGCCAAGTAATATTGAAATCAAACCAAAACTGTAGGAGGAGGAGCGTTTTAAAAGAATTTCAAAGAAATTTCTATTTTTAGTAACCATGGCAACACCGTTCATCGAAATAAAAAACCGATGCACCAAATTATGTATCTTAGTGTAGTCTACATATGTGCCAAGTTATATTAAAATCAGACCAAAACTGTAGTAGGAGTAGCATTTTGAATAGGGCTGGGACGATATATCGAGATATTGATAATATCGATTCAATGTGAGGATGATACGCATATCGATACGTATGAAGAAATATCGAAATATCGCCCAAAAAATTTTGACATATGTTTTTCTTTGTTTACTTAAGATTTTGGGTTTAATATATAAAATAAATATGCTTAATATAAATATAAATATGAAATACATAATAATTAACACCACTTGTGTAAAATAATTAAGTTTTACAAAAGATATACAACTTCTTTGCATGAATTATTCTTATTTGTGAAGAAATGTTTTGTTCATTTCAATATAAAAAAAAAAGAATTTATAACCAATAAAACATATCGTGATACATATCGTATCGTGGCTCAAATATCGGGATACGTATCGATATAGAAAAAGTTGTATCGTCCCAGCCCTAGTTTTGAAAAATTGTTTACAGACAGACGGACGCCGGACACCTTACTATCGCATAAGCTCTTCTGGTCTCTGACCAGTAGAGCTAAAAAGAACCACTGGCATTTAAGAAGTTAGTAGATACCTGTAATAAAATTGATACACCTGGTACTGCAATATGGAAATTGACATTAATATACATGTGCATCATTTATTTTTTGCAATATATTATTTGCTATGAGTGTACTGAGAGTAAATTTACTTCATTATACAGTGGAATCCCGTTATTGGGTTCATGGTTTAATATGATAGAACTGTGACAAAATAAATACCATAATAACAAGACCCCACTGTATCATTTATGGTAACCTCCCATGCAAAAAAAAATTATTATATCCAAATTTGATATTTGAAAATATGTAATCTTATTATATATTTTGCTTGAATTTAACTCAACATAATATTTCAATATGTTTAATGAATTTATTATCAACATAGCTAGTGACTTTACCAATAGGTATTACCATGATATTAATTAAAACATGTACTATTTAATAATGACAGCCCTGTTAACAAACAATCCTTTCACTTAACAATATGTGTTAGTATTCTTTCACATTTACTCTATAATTTTTCTTTATACAAGTATGTGTCCAACTTTTGATCTTTTGGCAGAGGAAGTGAAATATAGGCCTGACGAATCAGGATCAACTGATGTAACGATGTTGTAAATCCTTCGGGAGCAAGACCATACAATGTAAGGATGTTGTAACTCCTTCAGTAGTGAGATCAGGATTAACTCACCACACTATGTTAGGATGTTGTAACTCCTTCAGTAGAGAGATCAGGATTAACTTACCATACCATGTTAGGATGTTGTAGGTCTTTCAGTAGTGAGATCAGGATTACCTTACCATACAAAGTTAGGATGTTGTAACTCCTTCAGTAGGGAGATCAGGATTAACTTACAATACGATGTCAGGATGTTGTAGCTCCTTCAGTAGGGAGATCAGAATTAACTTACATACAATGTTAGGATGTTGTAACTCCTTCAGTAGGGAGATCAGAATTAACTTATATACAATGTTAGGATGTTGTAACTCCTTCAGTAGGGAAATCAGGATTAACTTACCATACAATGTTAAGATGTTGTAACTCCTTCAGTAGGGAGATCAGGATTAACTTACCATACAATGTTAGGATGTTGTAACTCCTTCAGTAGGGAGTTCAGGATTAACTTACCATACAATGTTAGGATGTTGTAGATCCTTCAGTAGGGAGATCAGGATTAACTTACCATACAATGTTAGGATGTTGTAACTGCTTCAGTAGGGAGATCAGGGTTAACTTACCACACAATGTTAGGATGTTGTAGATCCTTCAGTAGAGAGATCAGGATTAACTTACCACACAATGTTAGGATGTTGTAACTCCTTTAGTAGGGAGATCTCTCTGATAGCAGTGGAAGGTACCCCCTCCTCTTCTGATTCCAATCTGATTTTCTTCAAGGCCACCAATCTACCCGTCTTTTTGTTTTTACCTTTGTATACTACACCATAAGTACCTATAAAATAGACCACACAGGTTTAGTACACAAACTAAGTAAATAAACATAACAATTAAATAAATGAACTAGTATTCAGCTGTATATTTGACATAACAGCCCAGGATAGTATTTTGAAATAGTAAATGCAAAATAAGATATTATTGGAAGTTAATGTTTCCATATGATATACACTTGAATGTTGATGTTTCAATATACCGATATATTGCTTCAGCCCTATTTTGGTATAGGTAGGGCTTAAAGTTACTTGGAAATGGATCTGCTTGAAAAACTTTAACCTGTTCACTCATCCAGAAAACGTAAGTCAGATCTAGCATAAGGAGCAAGTCTAGTAGTGCCCAAGGCTCTCTCTCTTTTTATACTGATTTTATCTATTGGTATATCAGTATATTATGATTTTTTTTTTATTATGCAATACGTATCGTGAAACAGCAACTAAAACTCCTGTTTAAAATTTAATTTTGGATGCAACACGTTATTTAATAGGATAAAAAAAATTAGTTTATCTCGTATAACCTGTGTTGCCTATATGTCACAATGACTTACATCAAAAATGTATCAATCCGTTTGACGTGACATTTACAATATGTACAATTTGAAGACATTTTTGAAGGAGAAATTGTCTTATTTTCTACACTTGGAATAGTTTATATGCTTTTTCATAAACCTTTATGTGATTTATAAAGCGTAAACTGCCTCAACCCAAGTTACACAATATAACTTGGGTAGCTATTAAATTCATTCCTTAAATGATTATAATTCCCGATATGATAAGGTAAAGAAAGTAATAAGAATAGGAGTAAAATATATGGTTAATTATCAGATACCATTCTTAAAGTGGGGGAAAGCATAAAATACAAGAAATAAAATCCAAATTGAATAATAAAGCAGTGGCGTGAATCGAAGGTTTTTACAATGCTTGGATCTGTAGCTCTCTGCTTTATCTATCCGAATTTTCTCAAGCAGGACTGGGTTGCTCGAAACACTGGTTAATTTTGACCACTGGTTAAGTTAGCCAGTGGTTAAATTCTATATCCACTGGTCAACTAACCACTGGTCAAATATTTGTTGCTCAAAATAAAATTAGCCTCTGGTTAGCTAACCACTGGTTAAATGATTTAACCAGTGGTTAGTATCCCACAATGCATTACATTTGTCCACTTGTCAACCAAAAAAATGGCTACCATGGTAAATACAATACGAGTAAAAAGCGAGAAGTTATAATGTTACAACTGTATTGAAGAAGCGGAGAAACAGTGTCCTATAGATGTAACAGTTATCAACACTAAACAAACGGTTTAAGTCACAAAAAGTCATGAAAGCACAGGTTTGGCTAAAAATGCTACATATATTCAAGTGGAGGATCAATAAGAACATAAGGCGGTATTAATAGGAAAATTAGCACCACTTCGGCCAAGGTGGATAGTTGGCTGTGTAAAGACCGATGTTGGGCATCATAGCCCTCATTAAATCTAGTGTCGAAAATAATGCATAGTGACTTGCCATATATCTCTTCGGAATTATTCCTATTCAATACTTGGCTATGCTTAAAAGGTAAGTACATCAATTTGCATCGTCTCATACTATAATAATAAGTTATTGAACACTTTTACCTATTATCACCATGTAAACGTCGTCTGCTATGTTTCCGAGGAAATTCGCACTGGTTACATTCTCGCTTTAAATGCCTTGCCAGAAGGAACTCATTTCAACGTTTTAAGTCAAACACTTATAAAGAAAAAAAACTTTCTTCACATTTATATCTGTCTTAATAACACCGATAGTTGGTAGTCACTACTATTTGCACTTCTGTAAATAACAGAAATGTCATGGTCAAATACATAGATAAAGTGAGTTAATCACCAAGGCATTTCGCTCCGTACCCATACACTGTGTAACTAAACTGCATTAATGCATTATCCAAAGTTTTTTACATAAATATCACACATTTTAATAACTATCAATATTTAGAGAAAATAAAGGACTATATATAGATATCTATAAATATCAAATGTGCAAATCATTTTCTATAATTAATTTTTATTTATTTATAATCACAGTGGGACCTAGTCAAAATGAATGTAAAATCAGAGGAAATAGGGGATACACTCTTTATTTAATGCATCAGGCAAGAAGCATCGCTTAACAAAATAGGGCCAATAAAAAATCATTGTCAAGCGAATGATAATTAATATTGTAAAAAGTGATTAAATAATTTAAAAGCAAGACATTTGAAGAGAAGGGGGGGGGGTTAGATTTCCAATTTATTTTAATGTATTTTGATAATTTATGTTTGGCTACCAAACTAATATATCAATTTATGTGTATCCGTTATTAAGCCTATATACAAATGACAAACAATTTTATTCATTTATTTATACATATATTGAATATCATATTTTTTTTATCAGCAGGTAGGGGAGGGCCACTTGATGAAATCCTTTGCAATGCCAACGATTTTAGCCTTGAAAGAACCCATTCAAACCTTCTTGCTGATACTGAAGACATGAAATCCTATCATATCTCAGATAGTATTGTTATCCCCTCTTCCATATTGCTGCAAAGCCATTTCTACTTGACTTATAAATGACTGTGTCTTTGTTAGTACTCATCAACACTAAATTCAGGAACACAATGCATATAAGCTTTTGTTTCTTTTGTTATCCTCCAAAATTTATAAAAAAAAAAAAACAATAAAAAGGTAGCCATGATTATCCACTGGATAAGAGACTTAACCCACCTCTGTGGAATGGCTAACTTTGGCCAATATTTAACCACTGGATTGCAAAGTTAACCAGTGGATAAATTCTGAGCAACAGAATTTAACCAATGGTTAAAAATTAACCGCTGGATAAGAGATTTAACCAGCGGTTAGCGCTAACCAAGGTTTTGAGCAACCCAGTCCAGAAAGCTACAGTTCTGCAGCTAAAGCCACCCATGAATATGTTGATCATCATTTCTTAAGGTCAAGATCTAGTAAATGCTTTAGACTACTAATTGGTGCTATAGATCCATTATGACGTCATAATCAATTTCAATTTTCTTTTTCCCGTATTTTACGGCTCTAATAGATTTATGTACAAAATCAAGTATTTTCATGGAATTCAATTTGAAATCATGTGAAAAGTAATCCCGATACCTATATTAAATTTAATATCATTTTAAGGAAGAGGCCAAGAACATACAAATTACCATTTTCTGAGAGACTGTAGGCAATCTGGATACATTTCTTTTGTCTGATATGGAAAAAACTCTTGAATTCATGACTGGTTTTCTTAATTTTTCATTGAAAATTACAGCCTAAAATATTATTTTTCTTCTTGCTTACCTACAAATTATGCCCCGAAACACCTTATTTGACCAAGCTAAAGTTATAAAGCATCATTAAAGGAATTCATTTCTCAAATTTGAGAAACCTGTAGGCACCTTTCATTTACTAGATCTTGACCTTAAGTATAAGTTCCTTATAAAATGGTCCTCTGGAATTTATAGAAATCACTTATTAGGTATTAAGTTTGTTACTGAGTGTCTACAGAAATATATTGGGTTAATCAATCTCAGAGATGGCTTCGATGTTTGCGAGATTGATCAACCCTATTTTTCTGAAGACAGCCACTAACAATCTTAATTAGTACAAATATTTTCTTTTATGACATAGATTTCCTACTTACCCTCTCCAATTTTCTCTATCTTAATGTAGTCCTCCATTGTAATTGAATCTCTCTTATTGTCTTATTATCTTAAAAAAAAACAAAAAACACTCTAGTTAGTAACCATTGCAACACCATTCATCAAAATTAAAAATCAATAATCAGAATTATGTATCAAAGTGTAGTTACTTGTACAGATCACTTTTGAATTTATTAATTATCAGCTCTTAAATTATTAATTATTCGGAACCACAGGAGTTCGCAATTTTATCAATAAAGTCAATAAAAATCACTCGATTGACCAAGCCATGAGCTATGCTAACGCATTGCTCATGGCTTGGTCAATCGAGTGATTTTTATAGCTCATTGCTTGGTCAATCGAGTGATTTTTATTGACTTTATTGATAAAATTGCGAACTCCTGTGTTCGGAACTGATCAAAATTCGGAACTGGTCAAACGACTGTATACATCCAGAGATTGTGCCGGAGACATAGCTGTTTATACAGAAAATACATTTTCGATGTGTTCGATTTATGCTTAATAATTTACTATGAAATAACCAATTTACCCGTTCATAGTAAATATTGAAGTCTATATAATCATGATAATGTACGCATCACCTGGACAATTTCAAATCAGAGCATGCTTTCAAACCTTCAACTCACTTGTGACTCTAGGATAAGGATAAATAATAAAGATGGTAAAATCAACCATCCATTGTTGTCTGTAAAAATATAGACAGAGTTTCGTTTTGCTACAGCCTACACTCTACATTTGTACATACCATCGATTTTCTTTACAAATGCCGCTGTTTTTGAATGAACCAATAACAACCCGCCTTTTGTTTGAGTTCGAAATAGGGTTTCCGGTACAATAAAAATTTCTCAAACATTGATCCCGAACGATTTAAGTGAATAAAGCAAATGGTCTCCGTTTTCGGGGTCTTATAAAAATTTTACTTATTGGTGCAATGATTAATGCAAAGGCGGATCCAGGGCCGGTGCGCCGGGCGCACGCCCCCCCCCCCCCGTTTGAATTTTTTGTATGTAGAACTTATATGTCCATTATCCTAAAATCAAGGAAAAAAATCTCTTATTTGTAAGAATTCGTCAGCTTCCGGAGGCTTCGCCCCGGACCCCAAACAGGGCTTTGCCCTAGACCCACTGCGGGGGGGGGGGGCTTCAATGCAGCCCCCACACTCCCCTACCTTCTATCCCCCCCCCCCGTTATGAAATTCCTGGATCCGCCACTGTAATGGCATATTGTCGCTTGCTTTTATGTCCTGGCATAACTGTACATCATGCCTTATAATGTTTTATATTTCGAAAGCAATACGTTTAGGCGCAAAAGTTTCGACCAATATTAATTAATTATAGTGCTCTTCAATGAAAGTCAAATCGGTATAGCCACCAGGCCCGTATGAGGTCAAATATCATAATACATGTATATTCCGAAATGTACTATCACAAGTGATGGCCATGAGAAAACTATGAAAGCCTTGTCTCTTCGGGTGCCAAAGTTATGAACAAGGTTAAAACTTTTGAAAAGTAGGTAAAATTTCAAGGTCAAGAGTAAAATCCGGCATCATATAAATCTGGGAAAGTTCCATAACATGTACCTGTAATTCAACGTATGAAAGCCATGTCTTTCAGGCTCAAAAGCTATGTAAAACCAAGGACTTAAAAAAAAAATAAAGTGAAAAATAGGTCAAACTTCAAGCACAAGGTCATGAGGTAATAAATGATAGTGTTGTCACAGGTAATATGAAATATGAAAGCCCCATCTTCTCTCATTCAAAAGCCTTTATAAATTCACTGGCAATGTTAACATTTAAAAAAATGGGTAAAACTATAAGGACTAAGTCAAAGTGTCACGGGGGCAAGAATGTTGGCCGGTACGTTCGGAAAGATTTTGTCTGTTTTCCCATTCAAAAGTTATTGGCAATTTTACTTTTTTTGAAAAAAGTTAAGTACATTCGTAAAGATCTTGTCACAGCTTATATACACACGTGAGAAAAAATACAGTTGATTGAGGATAAACTTTTTTTTGACAGACTGACAAACATACTGACTGACAGACGATTGAGATAAAATCGGGGGGACAAAAGGCGCAATTTGATTGATCAATATTCCGTAGTGCGGGGAAATTAATGGCAGCAGCTTTGAGGGGTGTATCCCTATATTTATTTAGATGTTATTTTCTGTCTGTCTTTCTTTACGTTAAGATCCTTTTTAACAGTTTGGTACGTTTTGGGGAGGGAGGGGAGGGATGTATGATCATTTAATTTGTACATTTGAACCTCACAAATAAAAATTCAAAATGTGATCGAAATCAGCCCTACCCCCAAATTAAATAGCGTCCAACTGGTTAATTAAATTAAATTTAAGTCTGTAAAGTTTAGGATGCATCCCTTAAAGCTTTTGACAAAATTGCATCGAACGGCAACTATAGTATTAGGAAATTAGTCATTAGCGTAAAAAGGCTTTTCACTCCAAATCTAGTCTGTTAAAGATTTCTTGGCATGAAAATCAAAGGTTTTCTCAATTTCTCGCGGCTTTCTTATTCAAACATCAAATTTATTAAGATGAAATTGACCTTTATTTTTAAACCCCTTTTGGTACCTTTTTTTTTGGGGGGGGGGTTTAAATGATTATTTTATGTTGTATTTTGAACCCTCAAATGAAATTCACAGTATGATCGAAATTGCTCCCCCTTCCAGTTCCAATTTATTTCTCCTTGTTCACATTTTAATACTTATTTTTTGGGATCGAGAGTGGGAGTGGGGCGGATTATAATTTTATTTTGTATTTTATCCTTACATGAAATTCAAAATATGATTTAATTTGTACCCCCTGCACTATTTAGGAAACTTTAAAGTTGCTATATACGGTTATTTTGCTGTGAGATATTCTTCTTCTATTTTGAATGTTGATCTTGATTTGTTTTTGTTTTATTTAGAATAAATTCATCTTCAAAAATGGCAATTTGCGGTTCATACTTTCATTGAGCTTCTTAAATTTCTTACATCGCACATATGCATGAATTTTAATTTATAGTATATACTAATCACAATTAATTGAACGCAAACAGATGTATTCGGGGCTGCTTTTTTTAATTATTGATTTGTATTTATTTTTACTTAAATTTTGAGCGCAATCCCTCCCCCTTTTCTATTTATGAACCCTCAGTTTCCTAGTTTTAATTTCAGTAAAATTTACCTGTAACATTTAGGATCCATCCCCCGGCAAAGCCCAGTGCATGCTGACTTTATATGCCTCACAACACTCTTAACAGCGTAAGGAAGTATTATTACGCTTAATTTTATTGAGTTCATCCTAAATCTAGACTTGACGAAATTAAGTGCGTAAAATTTACTGGCGTTTATAATTAAGTTAATGTTTTTTTTTTATTTCCTTCAATCTTTATTCTTTCATAGGCGTCGGAACCGGGGGGGGGGGGGGGGGGGGCTAGGGGAGACTTAGCCCCTACTTTTTTTTTGTAAAGATAGACATAATATAGGCATGGAAAATTGGGGCTTACCTTTTTTTGTTGGTTTAGCCCGCCACTTTCAATTAGCCCCCCCCCTTTGAATTTGCTTCCGACGCCTATGTCTTTTTCTCAAAATCTTATTTAAAATACCCCGTTTCCATATACATTTTAACCAGGGTTTAGCAAACCACAATCTGATTAAAATCAGCTGTTCTGATACGCTACCGCTTACGAACGTAAGCGGTAGCGTATCAGAACAGCTGATTTTAATCAGATTGAGCAAACCATTGCGTATTATCAATATAATTGACCTTTCCTGGTCAGTAAATGGAAGTTCACCTTTTTACTTCAAACACGTGCCATTTGTTTTGACAGTTTCATATTTTCGCGGATTATTTTCTCAGAAGAGGTGTTCCGAAAGAACGTCGCCATTTTATTTGTTTATGTTTTGCATTTCGAAGGATTTTTTTTTAATTTCCCTTGACTGAACTGTTTTACGACCGAATACATGCAAAAACAAAGGTAAGAGACATTAGATAAGTGTTTTAGGAATATAGTTAATCCAAAGATATAGGCAGATTCGATTTATAAATGCCTTTAATGTTCCATGCATAATACCCTCTTCTGCCGGTGAAAATGTTTCTTAAAATCCCTTTTGAACAATTTTTCCCATAAAAAAGAGATTTTCTATGTTGAAGAATTAAGATTAAATCCCTTTTTTATTGATATTATGGAGATATTGTGTGTAAAACCATCTTTGCTATGCTTCATTAACTGTGAAACATTGTGTAGGCTTGAACATGTCGAGGAAATTCGGGTGCGAATGCTTTATTTTATATTTGTCATATTTCATTGAATACTCGTGTCAGGTCAAAATCAGTTGTTTAATTAATTCAAACTTTAAATTGTTAAGTTTTTAAAAAAAAATCTTTATTGCAAATTTACTGCGAGAATATAATAATCATTATATACATGATCATGATGTATAAAAAATAAAATTTATATGGTCTGAACAGATAAGACATAGTGTACTCAGTCTCAATTATTAAGAATGTTAATTAGTTTTGAGTACTTGTACCTAAAATGCAAATTTTTGTCCAGGGTATATTCTCAGAATTTATTGACCAAAAGTTTTGTTCGCCTCAAGCGTTATTTGCACATAAAATGTATATGCAGTAACAAAATTTTCTTCCAATTTTGTTGGGAAAAGGCGTAATGTTTAATAAGAAAATTTATTCAAGGTTACACAATGATGTCTATACATTTTATATAACAAAGAAATATTTTTAGAGCTAATTGTTTGAAAGGAAGATTCTTTAATTATTTTTATAGTGTTTAAAGTGTTTCAATTAGTATACTTTACAAAATCTCATTTGATATTTTAATAGGATTGTTTACTAGGCTTATCCTGCTTGTCTGTGATTTTGTTTCAGCCCCCTGTCTGCTTTTCCACTACTTTTTTTACACTGCTTATATGAGATTGGTCTTAAGTTATACCTCCTTTCCATGATTTTTCAATGGCCTCGGGTAACCCTTGGCATCAAACTGTTACCAATATTTACCTGTATTTTTCTTGTATTTCCTATAGAGTTTCCAGTCAGTATAAATGAATATGAACTCATGATGTGATGAAAATTGAATTGAATGAATTTTGCAGTTCACACTGGTTGATGATAGTTTCAGACGTCATGGAAATTATTCAGTGACATACAGACTGCAACAATTTGTGGTAATCAATGTATGATATATGCCAGAAATATGTACATGTATATAGAAAAGTCAATGTTTTAAAGAACTGGGTTAGGTTTCTTACTGATGCAGCGTAGGAATAATGTGCAAACTCGTAATTACAGTTGATGCAAAATAATTGCTGTGGTAAGATATATTTACCTGGTTAATGGAAGAGCAGTAAAAGAAAAGCAAAAAAAAAAAATATATATATAATCATAGAATAGCAGTTTGATTCATCGCAGAAAAGCAGGTATTTTCCAGTGGAAAAGCAGTGTCAAATCACAGAAAAGTGAAACAGCGATTGTTTAACTCACATAAAAAATACATACTGGTAGTTACAAAAAAATAAAATTGAATAATCATACAAAATGTAGGAATAACAAAAATAATGTAATAAAATTTGATATACAAATATTGTGATTTGTAGTTGAGGTGCTTTTGATTGTTTAGCAATTAGGGGCTCATTACTTTGAGAGTCCGAACTGTAATTGAATTAAAGATGTGTTAAAGATTATTTTTCTATTTCTTTCATTGAACTTTGATATACACATTCATTGAATGAATACTAAAGTCAGACATTTCATCAAATTTCTCTTACCCATAAGTCATGATGGTTTTATATACCTTAACTGTTAAGACATAATTATTTTGAAAATAAGACATACAATGTATAAAAAATGAATATTGATTGATATTTTATATAGAATACACAGTTTTCATATCTACATGATCTATATAGTCTTTTATCATATTGTAGATGAGTCTGGATCTGGCTTCCCTGAACTCTCTCCTCCCTCTCCTTGTGGAGTCTGCCTTCTTGTCCTCCTCTGTGGCAGTGATCCTCATTGACTGGAACCACAGTTTCCTAGAGAGTTACCTCCCTCAATGGAGGAGAAGAAATATCAGACAGGATGCATATACTTGCTTGTTTGGAGCAGCACTTGCCATTATATACATGAATAACTTTGCCATCAACTGTGAAAATTGTAGAATTGCTGGGACTGCCATTGTTGTTCTACTTTCATTTTGGCTTCAGAGTAAAACAAATAAAGGGAATGTCTCAGACAAATGTGTAGGTACCTCAGATGTGCCAGTCTCCAACAAATCATTTGGAGGATCAGCAGTAACACACAGGAACCAGAAAACCAGGGGCTTCATCTTCTGTGGGGCTGGGACGACTCAGAACTCTCTGTCTCTTTCCTCCTCACAGTTTGAGGAAAAGCAAAAGGATGAGGAGGAGCTGGTCACTCCCGTACCAAACCTCAGCTGTGTCAAAGGAAGTAAGTAAACTAAGTACAGTCAAACCTTGTTATCTCAAACTCGATGGGACCAAGAAAAATCTTAGAGATATCCAAGGGTTCAGGATATAAAGGGTAAAATACTTAAGAAATGTAGTTAGGACTTCCCAATCACTTTAACATATCCATGGTATTTGAGATATCCGTGTTAGAGATACAGAAATTCAACTGTACATGTATACGGTTTAACTTTTCTAATTCTTTGAGAGCAATACATGTGTATTGTCTCTGTAGGATATTAAGTAATCAAAGTTTGTGCAGAAAGTCATCTGCAATTTACTGGTGAAATCATTTTACCAAGGTCTCCAAATGTTATGAAAACAAATTTCACAAATGTGCCTTAGATTATTATAATATTGTAATACATAGAGTTTTGTAAATAAAAAAAATATAATATAAAAATTAAATAAAAAATAATAAAAAAGGAAGCTTTTTCTTTTTAAGTATGAATCTGGATTTATCTTTAACAGAGTTAAATTTTGTCTTAAGTAGGGATAAATGCCAACAGAAATGCAAGTAAACTCACTGATGCACTAAAGCAAATCCAGATGCCAAGTCAGTTGCCATGCTTGGATGACTCGGGCCTCCCCCTGGATGACTATTTTGAGGAGTCCCCTCACACTAAGGTGGAGAAGACGGGGTATAACTCAGAGGATTTTAAGAAACTGTGGAATAAGTGCATGGAGAGTGACAGTAAGTGATGTCAGATAAATACATATTTGTTACAAATTATAATTTTTTTTTTCATCATTAGAAGGTAGCTTCTGTGAAAATGTAATCAAAGAGTTGTATCCCATAGTTGCAATTTTGTTATTATTTTCTGTACATATAATTTGTATGAAGAGGTTTTGTCCCTTTATGAAGTCAATTGATAGTTTTATATGTACAATGACAGACAACAATATTATTTTTTATCTTGGATGTTACATGCTGGGTTATAATTCCTTTGATTAAACTAGTAAACACACGTGATCGTATTGTTATCCATTGTCCTATTTTTGTACACTTATTATACTTTAAAAAAAGCTAGTACCGGTCTTATGAAAATTTGTAATGTCTGTTCTAGGTTTCCACCCTTCTCCTGAAGAGTTAAGAGAAATGCAACATGACTATAAAGGTATAGGTAAATAGCCATTTCATTGTCATTATCTGGCTTTAATCTCTTAAGATGCAGTGATGATGCTGAGCTGATAAAATTTTATATCATTTCATATACAATACCTACATGCATTTCATCAGAATGATTCAATTTGATGTACATGTATGTGATTATCTATTGTATATCTCAAATATTACTTAACCATATCATAGTTTTTTTCAAACATTATGTTCTGATATTGTATCATTATATGTTGAATGGCAATATGAAAGAAAAGTGGCAGTACTATAAAATTATTGATTTATATACTGTACATGTAAAACTTTGAAATGATCATGTCCTTGTAGTGCAACTGGAGAGAGATGTAGAAGAGAAGGACAAGGAAATAGTGGAGACAAAGAGGGAGGTGGAGGAAAAAGACAGGGAAATAGTGGAGACAAAGAGGGAGGTGGAGGAGACAAAGAGGGAGGTGGAGGAGACAAAGAGGGAGGTGGAGGAGACAAAGAGGGAGGTGGAGGAAAAAGACAGGGAAATAGTGGAGACAAAGAGGGAGGTGGAGGAGAAGGACAAACAGATGGAAGAGACCAGACAGGAGATGGAGGAGACCAGACAGGAGATGGAGGAGACCAGACAGGAGATGGAGGAGACGGCTGAGGCATTGGAGATGTCTCTGAGGGTGGTGGATGAGACCACACAAGACGTAATGAACAGCCAGCAAGCCTTACAACAGGAGATATTGGCGAATCAGCAGAAGGATCAAATGATTCAGCAGAAGGACAGAATGTTAAATCAGAAGGACAGCCTACTGCATCAGGAGAGACAGAGAGTACGAGAGCTGGAGCAGAGCCCTGAGGGGGAGTGGCAGAGGAGGCTGCTTGAGTTGGAGGAGGAGATTCGCCGACTGTCCGCCCAGTCTAACCGCTCCAAGTGTAAGATCTGCCTTGTGGAGGAAGTCCAGGTGTCCTTTACCCCCTGTAATCACTTAATCTCATGTCAGGGGTGTGTAGACAGACTGCCAGAGAGAGTTTGTCCTATTTGTAGGGAACCCATTCAGAGGACAGTCAACATGTTCTTTGCATAAAGAGACAGGTGAAGTGTATGTTAATGCTGCAGCAATCAAATATCTGTTTTATAGCCCCTTTATATTGTTGTCTTATTTTTTTTTGTAGTTCACATACTTTTAGTTGGGGAATGAATTAGCCTAATACAAAGCAAAATTTATTTGTAATTAATGTAGAATGCATAGAAGAAAATGACTTGTCAAGGGATTTTATTGTAATTTTATAACCTTTGGAGAAGATTTTTTATTATGTTGTTTTTTCTTAAACAAAATTTCTTTTTCTTAGTATATGTATAATCTGTTATGACAGATTTTAAAATGAAATCCATTTCAATTCTTAGAAAATCTTTTTTTGTGTACAGCAGTTTCATTTGACAGAGATTTGATGTAGCATGTATGATATTGGTTAAGAATGGCATTTTATTTCACTGTGTGTAATTGTATATACTTAAGGGCAGCTTGTGCAATACAACATAATGAATGGATGTTTTACATATCTTGTTGACAGTGGATGAAAGTACTGTATTTTAAGACACATGTATCAGTATATTATCTCATCACACATTTCTTATATGTGAACAGTATATAGTTTTGTTGTCTAATGCTATTTGTGTGTGTGTGTGTGTGTGTGTGTGTGTGTGTGTGAGAGGGTGGGTGTTTGAAACCAATCATTAGGTATGACGTGTAGTGAGTTGTTTAAGTTGTTTGGATGTGATTTTTATGAATATATGTATGAAAGTTTTAAAAATATGAAAATTCTATGAAAATAAATAGAGAATGGCAGCATTTGTAAAAAGAATTCGTATTACAAAATGAGATGAATAGCAGCTTTATAGACAATACTGTTTTTTTTAAATCAAAAAAATCAGTTGAAGGGAGTATTTTACAAGAGATATATTTTTAAGAAAAACTTCACAACATTGTGTGTGTGTTTATTTAGAAAGCACTGTAAAGTGTTTTATGTTTTGCATCATTGTCAAGAGTATAGGAGCAGTAGATGACACGAAGTTTGTGTGTTGTAACTGTGTAATCAGTTTATTGTAATTTACCGTAAAGAAAAGGACGTAAAACTTTGGCTATAAAGAACTTTGCTTATAAGGAAATCTAGGTTAATAAGATGTTTTTCTGAATCCTGTAGACTTTGTTCTTCATACAGATATAAAAACATCTTGGTTATAAGGAAGCAAAATTCAAATTCTTAGTGAAACTAAGTTTTATTGTAATTAAAAAAAATTATCCATCATACTTAAATTCTGTCAAATGTTTCTCTTTTATTGGAAGTAGTACAGTACTTTACAGTGTATATTGCAGCATCAACTGTGCTTTTCATATAGATATAAATTTTTGAAATGGTTTATATCAAGAGCAGATTCATTTCATAGAAGAAGATGAAAACAATGGGTTGCAGTTCTTAGAATAATGCCAATTTTAATATACATGTACATGATTTTGTTTGAGGTTAAACAAGTAGTATTGTAAATAGAATATTTTGTTGTATTTTTGTCTGTAGGGTACACTGTGTCTCCCTACACAAAGTGAACACAGAACAGATAGAAAAATGTATATTTATAGTGCTATGTATATATACATACAGGATGTATAATTTTGTGGTAGCATAGATCTGTTAACTGAATAATGAGCTCCTTTGTTTTGTAACTTTTTAAAAGCATTGAAAACTCTCAGACCTTTTACAAGAGCCATTCATGTTTTTGTAAATATTTTTGATACTTTAATGTTATCTCATTTTAAGATTACGATTACTAGAGATCTGTATTTAATTCTCTTCATCTTTTCACTTTTTTCTACGTCTTTTGTATAATTTCCTTTCTGTGCATTACATTTTGATCAAGAAGATCTATTTTAAAGCAATACTTGTAATGTACATAGAATATCATTCAATAATAAATAAAATATGCATAAACATGATGTACATTGTTCGTTGATGTTTTTTGCTAGTGTGAGCCAAAGGCTTCAAGAGTGAACTTCTGCTATATCTTTTTGTACTTTGTGTGGTGCAAAACTCTTCAATGGCTCTTTTTCTTTACCACACTATAAATATTTTCTAGGTGTTTTTTTTTCTAGAAAACTTGCCTTTCTAAACTCTTCTCACTGCACATAAACTTATCCATCTAGATAATGCATTGAATTTCACTGAAAACTTGAGTATCAAATTTACTCAGATTTTCATTATGGACTTTTTTTCATATTTTATTCCCCTTTGTATTAATTTTATGTTAATATCTTCATTCAAACCTACAGTTATGTGCAAAGTATATACAAGGGGTGATCAAAAAGTTAGCAAACTAATTGAATAACTTCGATAAAAGAAATAAAATTAGATTTTGATGTTTATTATTATCTGAAGTAGTCCTTTCCGATTTTAATGCACATCTGCCACTGTTCGGCCCATGGACGAATCACGTGATCCTGGCGCTCATGTGACATGCTCCATAGCGTTCTGTTCACAGAAGCTAAAATTTTTTCGAGTCTAATATATTTCTTAATTACCATGCAAGTTATTTTTTAAAACAAGAATTGTCCATTTGTCATAAATGGCCAAATTTGGCAATAGGATGGGGTGATAAGGATATCCTTTCCCACAATGAGCATGGTGACCATCACAACCTAACTTCTCTTTCTTGGGTGCGTCGTTTTTCCATTGTTGATAAAGTATGGCCATAATGGGCACCTTCTTTTTATCATATCTAATATATTTAAAGTCTAAAGTAAATGATGCTTTAGGGATATTATAATTATAATATTCTTTAAAAATTCAACCATATTTCTAACTGTAACTTTGCGATCTTTCATAACAAATTGTTCAACTAAGGACACATCTCTTCCCCAGCTTACTTTCACTGGGCACCAGAACAAACATCATTTTGAACCGTCTTCCTTCCCTTACTAAAACAATCAACCCAATGAATGATTGAACTTCTGGCAAGTCTTTTGTCCCCATAAACCTTGTACAAATTATTATATGCTACTGCAAAGGAATTTCCAAGATATATATATGTTTAACTTTACAGCCTTTAGTTGCTCAAGTATGACCGAGTCAACCACTTTTTAGCTCACCTGAGTGGAAAGCTCAAGTGAACTTTCTGATCACCCGTCTGTAAACTTTTCACATTTTCAACTTCTTCTCAAGAACCACTGGGCCAGTTTTGACCAAACTTGGTACAAAGCATCCTTGGGTAAAGGGGAGTTTAAATTGTCAAAATGAAGGGCCAAGCCCCTTCCAAGGGGAGATAATCAAGAAAAGACAAAAATAGGGTGGGGTCATTAAAAAATCTTCTTCTCAAGACCCACTTGGCCAGAAAAACTGACCCCAATAGGAAATCCAAGTTTTACATTAAAATATGTAGAAAAAATCTTTAAAAATCTTCTTCTCAAGAACCACTGGGCCAGAAAAGCTGAAACTTATGTGGAAGTATTCTGGGGTAGTGTAGATTCTAAATTATTAAAATCATGACCCCTGGGGTAGGGCGGGGCCACAATAGGGAATCCAATTTTAACATTGAAATATATAGGAGAAATCTTTAAAAATCTTCTTCTCATGAACCATTTTGCCAGAAAAACTGTAACTTATATGAAAGCATCTTAAGTAGTGTAGATTCTAAATCGTTCAAATCATGACCCCTGGGGGTAGGGCGGGGCCACAATAGGGAATCCAAATTTTACATTGAAATATGTAGAAAAAAATCTTTAAAAATCTTCTTCTCAAAAACCACTGGGCTAGAAAAGCTGAAACTTATGTGGAAGCATTCTAGGGTAGTGTAGATTCTAAACTGTTAAAATCATGACCCCTGGGAGTAGGGCAGGGCCACAATAGGGAATCCAATTTTTACATTAAAATATATTAGAAAAATCTTTAAAAATCTCTTTCTCATGAACCACTGGGCCAGAAAAGCTGGAACTTAAGTGGAAGCATCCTGGGGTAGTGCAGATTCTAAATTATTCAAATCATGACCCCCAGGGTAGGGTGGGGCCACAATAGGTATTACAAGGGGAAAATCAGGTGAAAAACAGCAAAGCCAAAGTTACTCAGGTGAGCGTTGTGGCCCATGGGCCTCTTGTTTATTACAAGTCACCTACATATTAACGTAATTTTCACATTGTGATGTCACATACTGATCTGAATAGTGGTTTTGTAAATATAGAGAGAGTTCGCGAACTTATTGATCACCCCTCGTATAAATGATCACTCTCATCTCAAAATTATGAAAGGTGTATTTTAGCTCACCTGAGCCGAAGGCTCAAGTGAGCTTTTCTGATCGAAATTTGTCCGTTGTCTGTCGTCGTTGGCGTTGTTGTCATAAACTTTTCACATTTTCATCTTCTTCTCTAGAACTACTGGGCCAACATCAACCAAACTTGGCACAAGGGCCTAGCCCTCTTTCAAGAACAGCAGAGCCATGATGAATCATATTTATATGGAAGCATCCTCAGGTAGTGTAGATTCAAGTTTGTTCAAATCATGACCCCTGGGGGTAGGGCGGGGCCACAATGGAGGATCAAAGTTTTACATAGAAATATATAGGAAAAACCTTTAAAAATCTTCTTCTCAAGAAAAGCAAACAATGATGAGTCATATTTATATGGAAGCATCCTTAGGTAGTGTAGATTCAAGTTTGTTCAAATTATGACCCCTGGGGGTAGGGCGGGGCCACAATGGACTATCAAAGTTTTACATTGAAATAGATAGAAAAAAATTATAAAAATCTTCTTCTCAGGAACAGCAAAGCCCTGATTGGACATACTTATATGGAAGCATCCTCAGGTAGTGTAGATTCAAATTTATTCAAATCATGACCCCCGGTGGTAGGGTGGGGCCACTATGGAGGATCAAAGTTTTATATAGAAATATATAGGAAAATATCTACTTCTGAAGAACTGCAAAGCCATTATTAGTCATTTTGATAAGGAAGCATCCTCAGGTAGTGTAGATTCAAGTTTGTTAAAATGATGACCCCCGGGGATAGGGTCGGGCCACAGTGGGGGATCTAAAATTTTACATAAGAACATATAGGAAAATATCTTCTTCTCAAGAACTGAAAATTGTGTTTAGTCATTTTGATATGATAACATCCTCAGGTAGTGTAAATTCAATTCTGTTCAAATAATGACCCCCGGGGGTAGGGTTGGGCCCAATGGGGGGTTGAAAGTTTTACATAAGAACATATAGAAAAAATATTTCTTCTCAAGAACAGAAAAGCTTTGTTTAGTTATATTG